GTTGTGTCCTTAAAAAAAAAAAAAAAGCCAACAGTACTAGCTGCTACATAGAATGTTCACCAGTGATGTACATTTTTCTTCATATCCATTTAATCTTCAGCTTCAGATACATTTTTGAAAAGCAGAGGACTGCTCTGGTGGTTTACTTAATCAAAACTACGCAAATAATGATAAAAATTATAATTACGACCATTTTAACAGCAGCAATACCACCTATTTTGTGTGCCATTAACACCAATAGAAAAAGCTTTAGAGTAAGACAGGATGGTAGGATCACACAGTATTTTTCCACACTTGGAACTGCTAAAAACTGCAGCACAAAATTTTCTTCTGGTGTGGTATTCTGCTTATTTTAAATTACAGCCACTGTCCAGTTAATGAGTAATTCTAAATTCTTCGTTTTTTTGCATAATGAATGCAGTTTAAATGAATATAGAACACAATGAAATAATTAAATTGGAGTGACACAAAAAATTAAGCTATTACAATAGAAGACAAAAACATAAAGACAGTAAGCATAAAGAAAAAAAAAAGAAATAGACAAAACCCAGACTGCTTTGTTTTTCAAAGCTGTTAATAACTAAGGACATATGTCCATTAACATCTACCAACATAGGTGGGTTGTTCTGAGGCCTTGAAAAACAAAAAAACCCCTCAACTCTCAATGAATGCAGATGTCAGGTTTTGTAACCTAAAGGTGTATCAGCTGCAGAATGCGTTACAGCACAAAGTAGAAAAATATTCTGCTCTCTTTCAGCCTGGTTTTGGTGGTTGTTTTTGTCTGTTTTGGGTTGGGTTTTTTTTTGGTTTTTTTTTATCAAAATGTTTTATAATGTGGCATAGTTCTAGTTTTGCTTATTTAGTCTTAAAATTTACCCAGGCCACTTAAACTATTTGCCAGCAGAATTACTCAAACTGAAGAGCATGAAGTAAGAACAATCAATGAACGTACATACCTTTATGAAAGGTGATCTGATCTGCAGAACTACAAGTTTCTTTGAAGGTAATGAATACACTACAAGAAGAAAAAAATAAGTTTTATAAGAAGCAAGCAAGAAAGAGATCTGGGTTTAGAAGTACCCAGATTTATCCAATTTACAAACCTCAGGATAGTAAACCTTTCAGCTATCAATTCATATGGGAAAGCCTGACAATATCCACAGTGTTAAAAATACATATTTTTGTGTATTGTCTTCACTGGACTTAAAATTTCACTCGTCATAAATTCAAAGGATTCAGTGAAGAAAAATATATCACGATCTGCCTCCTGGAATGATTCATATAATCTCTTTATGCAGCTTTGCAAAGACTGACAGATTATTCTGAGATTTCTGTGATTTAAGAGGACGAAAAAAGATGAAATGCAATGATCTATATAAGGAAAGAAACTAAGAATTTGAAGGAGGAAGAGGGAAAAACGCCACATAAGGAAAAAGGCAAATATAGGAGGGAAGGAAGAAGAGAGGATCAATATCCTTCCACACCAGAAACTCAGCTTCCATTCCCACAGTTTACTTTAAGTATGTGTGCACTTCATGCCGCTTTGGATTGAAACTGCAGAGAGTTTTGGCTGCACTGCAATATTTTTGAAATTCAGCATTTCTTATTGGTTCCATATATCAAATTGGTTATCAAAAATAACAACAGTAACAGTTTCCTCTGTGAAGTGCAAATCCATTCTTATCTGTAAGTTACTGAAGCTGTTATTACTGACCTCAGTTTTAAGCATTGTTCACATAAGCAAAATGTAACAACAAAAAAATTAGATGTAATGCCCTTGCACCTTATGCAGCTTGCAAATATCTTCAGCATTCAATACCCACCTTCAGCATTTATACTCAGCTCCATTGAGTTTTCTTCTGCTGTTGCATATGGATTATTTCCAACCATTGGCACCAGGCAGTCAGTGTAGAAGTAACCAACTTTAGTCATGTTGAGCGTGGAAATCACAAGATCCGTTGCCAGTTGACCAACGTTTCCCACCGACACTGCTGGCTGAAGTAACGGAAGTTACTGATTTACAGTGTGTTTGATGGACAATACAATATGCTCTTCAAATAGTGAAAGTTTAAATTACTTCAATTCTGGTCAAACATGATTTCTAAAAGCGGCTGTTCATTCTCTGACAAAGGTGACTATTTCATAACAGATTACTAATGCAGACTTCGGTCCCTGTCCCACAAAAACATCCTGGCCACTTCTGTGAATAATCCTGTCTCATTGTAAACTTAAATAAAGGCTTGGAAACTTGTCTTCTCCCTCTCTTTTTTTGGATACACAGTAGATGCAAGTCACTCAACGGACTTATGCAGAGATCGGCAGGTCTCAAGTGACACCTAATGGTAATGTTGATATTACATATTAAACCTATAAATCTTGGCTTGATACATACACAAGAGTAAATTGTTTTTCATCTTTCAAGGATGAAAATGCTAAGGGTCATCTTGGATTAATTTCATAGGAATTTCCATGGGTTATCACCCATTGGGGCAGACACTGACCTAATCCGACAGCACAGAAAGAGAAATTCAAGAGTCTGTCTTCCAGTACCAGTTTCTGTAGAAGGACACAACAGTAAAATTTTCGGTTGCCTCCCTCTAACTTATAAGCCAGTCCATGTCTACATATTGCTGCTGCCACCAGTTGTGGAAACCCCGAAGTGGATGCTGATCAACCCACAGTGTAAGAGGACGTAACGGCGCTCACAGGCTGCCATTACAGACTGGTATTCAATAGCCCGATACTCCCAAAGCAGCCCGCAGTGAGCTATTTCCTGTGGCTAGTCAGCTGATCCCGAATGGCTTCCCGCGCAGCCTGCAGAGTCATCCCGGGCCGCCCAGCCCTCCACGAAAGCTGATGTTACCCTTAATTAAGACAGTAAAACGACTCGCTAATAGGCAACATAATGGTTTGCTACTTCGTAAGCCTGCACTGGAACTCTTACCCCCCAATAACCAATGTAACCACGGGTAGGTTATCCTGATTTCATGCCGCGTATGAAGGTGATTAAAACCACCTCCCAATCGGGGTTTAACTATAGCACAAATGAGGAATTTTTCATTACAAACATGCGTATATCGCATCGAAATGAGAAAATAACCTATTATTCCAGCGCCAACCCACAGACACTGCAAATTTTATAAGACGACGTACGGCGTTTTAATCTTGGAGCGCAGGCAGGCAGCTACAGCTCGGCACACAACGCTTCGCTCCACAGGAGCAGACACCGGGGGGCTGAGGAGGGAGAAACTGACGGCAACGGCAGAGGCCGCCTTCAGCTCTGCAGGGAACAGCTCGGGGAAGGACCCCTGCAAAGCCCCCCTCTTCTACTCAGCAAAACACCCGATACACGCACGGGCACCGCAAGCGCCTGCCCAGCGCCTCTCCGCTTTCCCGCGGGCGAGGACCCAGGGACGACCC